TCTGGCAATTCTTCACTGCTTCTGAACTGTCTTTCCCGCCCCCTGCCACTCAGTCAATTCCTCCACTTTGCGTTTGATATTCAGGGCTCCTAGATTGTCGTATATAATCAATTCACTTGTTTTTTCAGGTCTTTGTTTGAAGAGGGACCACTAGAAGCTTCTGACTACTCCGCCATCTTGGCCCCTCCTCCTATGTTATAAAACTTTTGAACCCTTCTGATTAGTTTAATCATGCTTTTGATTTGAATGGCAGTTTAGCTGGATATAATATTCTAGGTTCTAAATTATATCCTTGAATATTTGTAAAGCTGCTCTTTTGCCTTTTTTTTGCATCTATTGTTGCTTTTGGAAAATTTGATGTCAATCTAATCTTGTCTCTGTATATGATCTGCTCTTTCTCTCTGTAAGCTTTTGAGAATATTTTGTCTTTGATATCCATAAGTTTCACCATAATGAAATAGCCTGGCATTTTAAATCTAAGGTTCTTTTTTTAATTTCAAGAATTAAAAATATTTTTGTATGTTCTGTTTTTATTCCTTTCTTTTTCTGGGACTACTATTATCTGGACGATAGCATTTCTTCTTTTCTTATCCATATAACTTAGCTTTCTGTTTTTATTTTCTGTATCATTATTCTTTCTTTGTTGTTCTGGGAGAGTTCCTCAATCTGGAAATTGGAAAGTTTGCTTATTTATTTCTCAGATGTATTCATTCTGCTGTTTATTTCATTTGTTGAATTCTTTGTTTAGCTGTTGTCTTAGTTATCAGTTATCTAGTGCTGCTATAACAGAAATACCACAAGTGGATGGCTTTAACAAACAGAAATTTATTCTCTCACAGTCTAGTAGGCTAGAAGTCCGAATTCAGGGTGCCAGCTGGCATTTTTTGAAGAGGGACCACTAGAAGCTTCTGACTACTCCGCCATCTTGGCCCCTCCTCCTATGTTATAAAACTTTTGAACCCTTCTGATTAGGGTTCTGATTAGGGGAAGGCTTTTTCTCTTTCTGTCGGCTCTGGAGGAAAGTCCTTGTCATCAATCTTCCCCTGGTCTAGGACCTTCTCAGTGCAGGAACCCTGGGTCTGAAGGACTTGCTCTGCTCCTGGTGCTGGTTTCTTGGTGGTATGAGGTCCCCATGTCTCTCTGCTCGCTTCTCTCTTGTATCGCAAAAGAGATTGGATCAAAACACAATCCAATCTTGTAGATAGAGTCCTGCCTCATTAACATAACTGCCGCCTATCCCACCTCATTAACATCATAGAGGTAGGATTTACAACACATAGGAAAATCACATCAGGTGACAAAATGGTGGACAGTCACACAATACTAGGAATCATGGCCTAACTAAGTTGACACATTTTTGGGGGGACACAGTTCAATCCATAATAGCTGGGGGTTTTTTATATCTAATATTTCTGCTTGTTTCTTTGTTGTATCTTATGTCCATGTTTTATGTTGTTAATATCTTCCCTTAGATATTTATTTAGCTAAGTTCAAATTACTGGACCATCTATTCTAAAAATATCTTCTGCTGATTGAATCTCTAATATGTTTTTATTCTGAGATAGTTGTGTTCCTCCAGTGTCTTGTTATTTCAGCCCGTGAGCTTATTTTCTTTTGGGGCTATCAGCTTCTCTTTCAGACAGTGGGTACAGGTGAAAAACCCCAGGCCCTGTCAGCTCCCGTGAGTTCAGGGGAGGAAGTGAGTGAGCTCTTGGGTAGAAGCCTTAATCACTTACCCCACAAAATAACCTGTCAGATCAGGACTTCAGCCTTTGCCTTCCAGACATAAGTAACATTAAGAGCAGATATACTCCTTAGATTAGCATTCTCTATCCCTGGGGGTTTGGCGGGGAAGGATGAGGCAATAACTGCCTAGAGTTAGTTAACTCCACCTGTTTTTTTCCAGTCATGTACAGTCCTGCTTTTACTTTTGAGGACACAGCTGTCTTTCAGACACCTGTAGCAACACCACATCGCTACAGGTGTTGGGGAGGCATTGTTGGTAAGAATTAGAAGTGGGGAAGAAAAGCAGGAGTCAAAGTCAAACAGCTCTTCTCCGGATTTCATCCCTTGCTCCCAGGCTACAGCCACCATCTTTAGACCAGTTAGTTCTAAACAACCCCTCTGGGATTTTTCACAACTTTTCTCTACCCTCCACCCTTTTTTTTCTTTTTTTTTTTTTGCATTTTACCTCTACATCTCCTTGTGGTTGATTGGTTTCAGAAAGGAGCCAGCCTGTCATGCTAAGTTATCATTATTGTGGAGAGTGTCTGTTTTATTCATCTATACTATATATGTTCCAGAGCCAGTTTCCTGCTAAAATGGGTATAAAAGTTCTCTTAGCATAACCTGTATTAGTTTCCTAGGGCTTTGTAACAAAGTACCACAAAATTGTTGGCTTTATAACAACAGAAATTTATTGCCTCATAGTTCTGAAGGCTAGAAGTCCACATTAAGAGTGTTGGCAGGCCCATGCTTTCTTCAAGATCCTTTCTTTCCTCTTCCTTACATCAGTGTTGTATCCTTTCACCAAACTATTCAATCTGTATGCTGAGTAAATAATCTGAGAAGCTGGACTATATGAAGAAGAATGTGGCATCAGGATTGGAGGAAGAGTCATTAATAACCTGCGCTATGCAAATGATACAACCTTGCTTGCTGCAAGTGAAGAGGATTTGAAGCACTTACTGATGAGGATCAAAGACTACAGCCTTCAGTGTGGATTATACCTCAAAATAAAGAAAACAAAAATCTTCACAACTAGACCAATAAGCAACATCATGATAAACAGAGAAAAGAATGAAGTTGTCAAGGATTTCATTTTACTTGGATCCACAATAAATGCCCATGGAAGCAGCAGTCAAGAAATCAAATGACACATTGCCGTTGGGAAAATCTACTGCAAAAGGTCTCTTTAAAGTGTTAAAAAGCTAAGATGTCACTTTAAGGACTAAGGTGTGCCTGACGCAAGCCATAGTGTTTTCAGTCGCCTCATATGAATGTGAAAGTGGACAATAAATAAAGAAAACTGAAGAAGAAATTGATGGCTTTGAATTATGGTGTTGTCAAAGAATATTGACTCTACCATGAACTTCCAGAAGAATGAACCAATCTGTCTTGGAAGAAGTACAGCGAGAATGCTCATTAGAAGCAAGAATAGTGAGACTTCATCTCACATACTTTGGACATGTTAACAGGAGAGACCAGTCCCTGGAGAAGGACATCATGCTTGGTAAATTAGAGGGCCAGCAAAAAAGAGGAAGACCTTCACTGAGATGGATGGACACAGTGGCTGCACCAGTGGGCTCAAACATAGCAACGATTGTGAGGATGGCACAGGACCGGGCAGTGTTTCGTTCGGGTCACCATGAGTTGGAATTGACTGGATGGCACTTAACAACAACAACAGCTTCTAGTAGCCCTAGGCATTCCTTGGCTTGCAGCTGTAGCACTCCAGTCTCAGCCTCTGGAAGACCATCTTTTTTTAATAAAAACATCAGTCATAATTGGATTAAAACTGGAATTTTTCATTCATAGATTTTTTTTCTTTAGTTCAATGTGTTATAATCAGTTATATCTATATGCTTTTTAAATTAAAATTTTTGAGATAATTGTAGATTCACATGCAGTTGTAAGAAAAAATAGAGATCTTTGTACCCTTTAGATGATTTCCCCTAGTGGTAACATGTCACAAAACTGTAGTACGATATGGCAACCAGAATATTGACATTGATACAATCCACTGATCTTATTTAGATTTCCATGTTTTACTTGTACTCACTTGTGTATGTGTATGTCTGTATACTTACAAACCAAACCTGTTGCCATTGAGTTGATTCTGACTTATAGGGACCTTATAGGACAGAGTAGAACTGCCCCATAGGGTTTCCAAGGAGCGGGTGGTAGATTTGAACTGCTGACCTTTTGGTTAGCAGCCAAGCTCTTAACCACTACACCACTTAGTTCTATGTAATTTCATCATATGTGTAGTAGGTTTGTGTATCCACTGCTAGTCAAGATACAGAAGGGTTCCTTTATGTCCTTGTGTTCCCCTTTTTATAACTACACAAGTTTTTGGAAACTTCCCTCCCACATTCCGTCCTTAACCCTTGGCAACCACTAATCTGGCTTCCTTTCTATAGTTTTGTCATTTCAAGAATGTTATATATAAATGGAATAATATAGTATGTAACCTTTTGGAATTGGCTTTTTTTCACTCAGCACAATTCCGTGGAAGTTCATCCAAGTTGTTGGGTGTATCAATTGTCTGTTCCTTTTTCTTGCTGAGCAGTATTCTATGATATGGATGTACCATAGTTTGTTTAATCATTTACCTATTGACTGCCTATCACTTAAGTGGGAGACTTGTTACTTTCAACTACAAGGATACTTTTATAATTATGGTGCCCAGCTGTGTTAAGGCAGAGGCAGAGCTATAGCTGCCCTGTGGACTGTCTGCTGTTGCATAGCCCTGGGGGATCCGCCATCCAGCCGGGAGTGAGCAGACATCAAGAATCAGCTCCTGCACACCAGATCTCTTCCCCTTGAGGACAGGGGCCTGAACTAGTCTCTTTGGGTCAGCTTTCTGGTTTCTGAGGGATTGGAGAGTTGACTTCCAACTACCTACTCAGTGGTTAGTCCAAACATGTAACAAGTAAAGTGGGAGGGGATAAAGTCTTGCTGGTCATTGGATCAGGCAGCAGGAAAAAATCGGTTGTTTGTAGGCATTTCAACAATGATTTATATCACTTGTGAACATGGTATCAGGGAGTGAAGATGACCACATACCAGAGGATTTTGGGGAAAATATTTTCTATTTTTTTTATTTTGCTGAGACATTTCCAATACTTTTTAATCCTCAGAAAGAGCTACAGGCTGAGCATTGCCATCTTAAATATTTAAAATGGCATATGTCAAATTGTGTATTTATGTAAGCAAATGAAGCACTTTTCAAAATCCTTTATTATGCCTAATTTGATCTTTTTTTTATTCCTGCATAGACAAAGAATCGAATCTAGAGTGTGTAAGGAAGCCATCAATGAATTTTATTCTATTATTAAAGAAGAACTCATCAAAATGGTAAACTCAGACATAGATTTGTTCTAAATTTTTTTTTCTTTATTACTAATCCTGAGGCAACATACTTCTGTCTTAGAAAAGCTCATATTTGCTGGCAGTATGGTAATGATCTCATTAGAACCACCTGTATTGCACCATGCTGTTTTTAACTAAGTGTGATGTATGTTAAAATAATAAAAGTTATATATATATATGTAATTTTGAAAAATGCATGCAAATATTTATTTTTTGTTTTGTGTAGATTAAAGAAGTCCAGATACTGAAAAATTTGAAAAGGAAGAATGCTAAGGTAAGTCACTTATGTGATTAGAGACGTACAGCCATATAATACTAATACGTATAGAGTTAAGTAAAGACGTAACTCTGTGTTTTGGCCTTCAGAGTTTGTATAAGGATTTTGTTTTGTTTTGTTTTTAATTGTGGTATGTATATAGGTAACAGAACATTTGCCATTTCTATAGTCTTCACATGTACATTTCAGTGACGTTAATTATGTTCATCAAGTTGTTCAACCATCACCGTTAACCATTCCCAAATTTTTCTCTCACCTTTAACGGCAGCTTAGCGTCTCCTAAGCATTATGTCTTTCTTCCCCCGTATAAGTTTTTTTATTTTTTCAGTTAGGCTATTATTTGATTGATCTGGTTGATCTGGTGAGTGCTGTTAACTCAAGCTAAGGAATGGGGGCCCTAGTCATCTTTGTTTCCTAAAGCTGCTCAATGTCAAAATAATGGTTTTTATAATCAACGATGAGAATTTCAAGCCTTTTTTATGTTCCAAAATTAAGCTAAAAGTGGCTAAAAATGACCACTTATATGGATAAGTATTAAATAATGTGTATTTATTGCTTTTGTGGATATCAAAAAGCAAAACTTCCTAGAAAACTCTCAAGTCAAAGGACAGCCCAGGAAAAATACTAGGTTAATGGTCAGAAAACCTCATTTCTAGTCCTGGTGCTGCGACTTTAATGTTGCACCACGTTGAAAAATCACACACCTGTAGGTGTGGGAAACAAGCCAGTGAACACAGGCCACCTTTCCTCATCTGTAAAATGAGGAGCTTTGGCCAAATGACCTCAGGGTCCTAGCTCTAAACTGGCATGAATCCAGGAACGGAAGACCAGCTCCCTCTACATTTATAACAGAAGTGGATTTGAGATGTATATATTTTTCTTCCAGTGGTTACAAGCCTTTGGTTTTTCAGTTTTAAGCTCTTATTGGTCATTTCTACATTGCTTGTAAGTAGTGGGAACAGTCTGAATGTCCAGCAATGGAATATTAGGTAGTCACTGAAAGCGATGGGTAAGATAATAAAATTTGTTATATTGAAATGTTGTTTTTAAAATACAGAGTAGACCACAACATTCCCCTACTTCAATAGCTTCCCAGGACACCTAGATAAAATCTAAACCCCTGAGCTACAAGGTCTAGTGAGACCTTCATAGTAGTCGTGAGGTAGATAACCCCACTATTCTTTTCCTTTATAGCACGTTGTAATTACATACTGTTTGTATGTAGTACTGTCTTCCCTACTAGAACAAAGCTTTATGAAGGTGAGAATTAGGTCTGCCTTGTTCTCCACTGTATTTCAATACCTGGCACAGTGTCTATCATGTGGCAGTGCTCAGGTATTTACAAAATTAACAAAGACATTAATTGTATCACTTAGATGATTTCAGGTATCAAAAGGAAAAGGCAACGTTTGATTGAAGTCCAGGATGAACTACTTTGGTAAGATAATATCAAAATCCTGTTTGAGAATTCATCTAGAAGGATATAATTATGGTATGCCATTTGGGGATAGTATAACTTGCTGCTGTATTGCATCAAAAGCCCAAGTTATCTTTGAGCTTGGAAACTCAATAAAGGTAGGTTATGCCGCCTAGTTGCTAAACCTTTAGCAAAGGAGAATTCAGCACTTATCTCCTGCCAGCAGGTGTCTGGACTCTGGCCTGAGAGGCAGCCTAATTTTGTAATTTAATGCATGGACTCTAGAACCAGGCTGCCTGGGTGTGCATCCAGGCTCTGCCACTTACGTCTGTGCAACCTTGGGCAAGTTAACCTCCCAGCGCCTCAGTTCCTTCATTTGTAAAATGGTCATAATAATAATACCTGCACCTCCTTAGGTGCTGTGAGAATTAAATGAGTAAATATATGGAAAGTGCCTCACAGTGACTGGCATATAATAAGTACTACATAAGTGTTAACGGCTTTTGTTTATGTTGTTGTTGAACCCATTCCCAAGTGTTGGATCAGGAGAACTTGCCAGGCTTTGCAAGCCACGGCTGTCCCCATGGCCTTTATAGAAAACTGGGGCACATAACACCAGCCTGTCACCCAACAAGAATTTTCTGGTGCTCTTCTACGAGGCCAAGACTGTTGTGTGAGCTGGATGGTGGGTAGTAAAGCAGTACTAGATAAGGTCACTGCTCCTTAAAGCTTTAAAATCACTTGTGATATAAAGTGATATTATCAGAAAAGACAGTGCATAATGAAGTACTAAATTTTAAAGAAGAGACTGCCACAGAATTTGGAGAAGGGAGAAATTGGTTATCTGGTCCACTGGTTTCCAGAACTAGACTATGGACAGGTGCTGGCCCATGATAAAGTTTTCATTAGCACGGGCCTAAATAAGAACATAAAGGTAATAAAATAATGATGGTAGCTTGATATGTGCTGGACACAGTCCTAAATGCTTTATATATTAACTCATTAATCATCACCATAATCCTGTGAGGCAGGTTATTATGGCCCTAAAATAAGACTCTGACTTACTATAATTGAAAGCACTCACATGCTTTAAAGACTAACCTTTTTTGTTCCTTTTCTAGATGTGATTTTAGAAGTTGAGAAGCATATTTTGAAAAGGAATAGTAAAAAAAAAATGTGGTATATCACTGTTTTATCTTTACATACGAAAAATGTAAGACACAGAGAGGTGACTCACTCACAGTCGCACACAAGGGACGTGGTGGAGCCAGGATCTGATGTCCACAGTCTGACTTCTGACCCTGGCCCTGCCAACACAAGACTGAGTTTTCCAGAATGTTGCATTTGTTCAATATAAAGAACTGCTAAAATGACTTTTATAAAATTATGATATTAGATGATAGTTCTTTTTTATGTCTTTATTTGGCAAAATAAAAAATGGGCATCCCTCCCACTTTTGAAGACAGATTCATGAAATCCAAGTTATCCCTTTTATTTTATTGGAGCCCTGGTGGCATAGTGTTAAGAGCTAGGCTGCTAACCAAAAGGTCAGCAGTTTGAATCTACCAGCTGCTCCTTGGAAACCCTATGGGGTAGTTTTACTCTGTCCTATAGGGTCACTATGAGTCGGAATCGACTCAACGGCATCAGATATATATTTTATAGGTGAGGAAACTCAGGCACTGAGAGGTGAAGCGGTTTGCCCAAGGTCGCACCAGCCAGTGTGATAGTTTGTCCACTGGTCTTATTAGATTTGGAAAGTAGGCAAGATTTTGACCATGAAGGGGCAAGGGGAAAGTTTTTGCCTGTGTCTTCACTCTTAAACTGAAATGCCTGATTTCTCCTACTTGGGGGCACTAAAATTCAACTAAGTATATGTTTTAATTCAGTAGTTCCTAAGACCTCAAAAATGACTCAATGAAATTTAGGATATATTAGGCATATTCTTCTGTGTGCTTCACTGCTAAGTATTTATTGCACATTGTATTTCAGAGTTGTTTCTATGTTTTATATTAAAATCTAGAATCTTTCACACATTTATAATTTTTCCATTCTTATAATTTATATTTCAGAGCCAAAGAAATCTTAAATCATCTAGTCCACCTCCTCATTTTTCCTATTCACCCAGTATACTCACATACTCAATCTCATATAGTATAGGCTGTTACACTTTATTACATCTCATTGATTTTTTGGAAAAAAATACTTTGTTTTAGGTTAGAACCACAACTGAAACAGCTACAAACAAAATATGATGAACTTAAGGAGAGAAAATCTTCCTGTAAGAATGCAGCATATTTCTTATCTAATTTAAAGCAGCTTCATCAGGATTATTCAGATGTTCGAGAAAAAGACCCAGAAGCCAAGGAAACGGTAACTTCAATTTTTACTTTTTACTGTGCTTCAGAAGATATAGGACATTTGCATGCTAGAACACCAGAAGCTTTGAGGAAAGATAGATGTAGATGCAGCATTACAGAGTCTACCCAAACCAGCATCACTATAAATCAGCGAAAGTTTGTTATAGCATCACATTTTAGCTGCTTGATGAAGGCTAGAGTGGTAGAGAAAAGTCCTACACTGATTTTGTTACATTACTTATGCTTCAGAGAACTGAATTTCCTCAAGGGAAATGTATATCGTGTGAACAAATCTCAGTTGAACAACTGTGCTCTGCATCATTATCATTTTGAACAATGTAAGACCTCTCTGAAATATTTTTTTCTTTTTTTAAAAAATTTTTATTGTGCATTAGGTAAAAGTTTACATAGCAAAATTAGTTTCCCATTTGATGGTTTACATAAAGTGTTCCATGACATTGGCTGCATTCCCCACAATGTGTCAGTATTCTCACTTCCACCCTGAGTTCCCCGTTTCCTTTCATCTGGTTTTTCTACCCCTTCCTGCCTTCTCATCTTTGCTTCTGGGCAAATGTTGTCCTTTTGATCTCATATAATTGGTTTTAAGAAACACATCAATTCAACCATTTCTACTTGTACAATTCAGTGTTGGTTGTAATCTTTATAGAAGCAGATCACCAGGCATTTCTTCCATGGCACCACTGGTGGGTTTGCTGGGTGGGTTCGAACCACCAAGCTTTTGGTTAGTAGCCAAGAGCAAACTGTTTGCGCCATCGAGGGACCTCAGACCCACTTTATTTATTTATTTATTGTGCTTTAGATGAAGGTTTACAAAGCAAATTAGTTTCTCATTAGACAATCAGTACATGTATTGTCTTGTGACATTGGCTGCCAACAGCACAACATGTCAACACTCTTCCCTTATCAACCTTGGTGTTTCCCCATTATCAGCTTTCCTGTTCCCTCCTGCCTTCTTGACTGCTCCTGGGCAGGTGTGCCCATTTAGGCCTGTCTAACAAAGAATGTTGAATATACCATGAACTGCCAAAAGAATTAACATGTCTGTCTTGGAGGAAGTGCAACCAGAATGCTCCTTAGAAGCAAGGATGGCGAGACCCTACGTCTTACATACTTCAGACATGTTGTCAGGAGGGATCAGTCCCTTGAGAAGGACATCATGCTTGGAAAGTACAGGGTCAGGGAAAAAGAGGAAGACCCTCAATGAGATGGAATGACACAGTGGCTGCATCAGTGGGCTCAAGCATAACAACGACTGTGAGAATGGCACAGGACCAGGCAGTGTTTCGTTCTGTGGTACATAGGGTCGCTGTAAGTCAGAACTGACTGAACGGCACCTAACAACAACAACAACAACAATCTTTGGTTGAAGGGTGAACCTAAGGAGTAACTTCAGTACTGAGTTAAAAAGGTGTCCGGAGTCCGAACTCTCAGGGTTTCTCCAGTCTCTATCAGACCAGTAAGTCTGGTCTTGTTTTGTAAGTTAGAATTTTTGTTCTACATTTTTCTCCAACTCTGTCCGGGACCCTCTACTGTGATTCCTGTCAGAGCAGTTGTTGGTGGTAGCTGGGCACCATCTAGTTGTGCTGGACTCAGTCTGGTGGAGACTGTGGTAGTTGTGGTCCATTAGTCCTTTGGACTCATCTTTCCCTTGTGCATTTGGTTTTCTTTATCCTTCCTTGCTGCAGACAGGGTGAGACCAGTGGAGTATCTTAGATGGCCGCTCACAAGCTTTTAAGACCCTAGACGGTATGCATCAAATTAGGATGTAGAACATTTTCTTTATAAACTTTTTTATGCCAATTGAGCTAGATTTCCCGAGACCATGGTCCCCACAGCCCGCAGCCCAGTGCTTTGGTCCCTCAGGGAGTTGGGATGTGTCTATGAAGCTTCCATGACCTTGCCTTGGTCAAGTTGTGCTGACTTCCCTAGTGTTGTGTACTCTAACCCTTCACCAAAGTTACCACTTACCTATTATCTACTTCGTGTTTTTCCGTCCCCTCCCCTCCCTTGTAACCATCAAAGATTGTTTTCTCTGTTCTAAATCTTTTCATGAGTTTTTATAATAGTGATCTCATACAGTATTTGTCCTTTTGTTATTCACTTATTTTACTCAGCATAATGCCCTCCAGATTCATCCGTGTTCTGAGATGTTTCACAGATTCATCATTGTTCTTTATTGTTGCGTAGTACTTCATTTATGTGCATGTACCATAGTTTATCCATTCATCTGTTGATGGGCACTTGGTTGTTTCCATCTTTTTGCTATTGTGAATAATGCTGCAGTGAACATGGGTGTGCATATGTCTATTTGTGTGATGGCTCTTATTTCTCTAGGATGTATTCCTAGGACTAGGATTGCTGGATCGTATGGTACTTCTATTTTATCATTTTCCAAAATGTTTCTATCATTTTACATTCCTACCAGCACTGCATAAAAGTTCCAATCTTCCCGTAGCCTTTCCAACATTTGTTATTTTCTGTTTTTTTTGATTCATACCAGTAATGTTGGAGTGAGATGGTATCTCATTGTAGTTTTGGTTTGCATTTCTCTAATGGCTAGTGATCACGAGCATTTCCTCATGAGTCTGTTAGTCACCTGAGTGTCGTCTTTGGTGAAGTATCTGTTCATATGCTTTGCTCATTTTTTAATTGGATTATTTGTCTTTTTGTTGTAGAGGTGTTGGATATTCCTGTAGATTTTAAAGATCAGACCTTTCTCAGATTCATCATAGCCCCCAATTTTTTCCCAGTCTGTAGTTTCTCTTTTTACTCTTCTGGTGACTCTTTTGATGAGCATAAGTTTTTAGTTTTTAGAAGATCCCAGTTATCTAGCTATCTTCTGGTGTTTGTGTATTGTTAGTTATGGTTTGTACCCTATTTATGCCATGTTTTAGGGCCTCTAGCGTTGACCCTATTTTTTCTTCTATGATCTTTATAGTTTTTGGTTTTAAATTTAGGTCTTTGATCTATTTTAAATTAGTTTTTGTATACGGTGTGAGTTATGAGTTCTGTTTCATTTTTCTACAGATGGACATCCAGTTTTGCCAGCATCACTTGTTAAAAAGACTGTCCTTTCCCCATTCATTGGACTTCGGGCTTTTGTCAAAGATTAAGTGACTGTAGGTGGATGGATTTACATCTGGGTTCTCGGTTCTGTTCAGTTGGTCAACGTGTCTGTCATTGTACCAGTACCAGGCTGTTTTGACTACTGTAGCTGTATAGTAGGTTCTGAGGTCAGGTAGTGCAAGGCCTCATATTTTATTCTTCTTCAGTAGTGCTTTACTTATCCATGGCCTCCTTCCTTTCCATTTAAGTTAATAATTAGTTTTCCCATCTCCTTAAAGAATGCTGTTGGTATTCGGATTGGGATTACATTGTATTTGTAGATTGTTTTGGGTTGAATTGACATTTTCACAATGTTGAGTCTACCTATCCATGAGCATGGCATGTTTTTCCATTTATGTAGGTCTCTTTTGGTTTCTTAAGTAGTGTTTTATAGTTTTTTTGTATAGGTATTTTACATCCCTGGTTAGATTTATTCCTAAGTATTTTATTTTTTTAGGGACTATTATAAATGGTATTCTTTCTTGATTTCCTTTTCATGGTTCTTTTTATTGGTGAATAGGAATCCAGCTGATTTTTGTATGTTTATCTTGTATCCTACTACTGTGCTGAATCTTTCTATTAGTTCTAGTAGTTTTCTTGTGGAGACTTTTGGGTTCTGTATGTGTAGTATCATTATCATCCGCAAATAGGGCTAATTTTACTTCTTTCTTACCAGTTTGGATGCCCTTTCTTTTTGTTGTCTTATTGCTCTAGCTGGGACTTCAGCACAATGTTAAATAGAAGTGGCGATAAAGGCCATCCTTGTCTTGTTCCTTTTCTCAGGGGGAATGTTTTCAGCCTCTCTCTGCTAAGAATGATGTTGGCTATTGGTTTTGTATAGATGCCCTTTATTATGTTGAGGAATTTCCCTTCTGTACCTATTTTATTGAGAGTTTATCAGGAATGGGTGTTGGACTATATCAAATGCCTTTTCTGCATCAACTGAGATGATTATGTGATTCTTTTGTGTAGTGGATTACATTGACTGATTTTCTAATATTGACTTGCATACCTGATATGAATCCCACTTGGTTGGAGTGTATTTTTTTTTATATGATGGTGAATTCTATTGGCTAGAATTTTGTTAAGAATCTATATTCATGAGAGATGTTGGTCTGAATTTTCTTTTTTTGTGATGTCTTTGCCTGGTTTTGGTATCAGGGTTATGCTGCCTTCATACAATGAATTCAGACATATCCCTTTTCTGTGTTCTGAGATAGTTTGAGTAGTACTGGTGCAAGCTCTTCTCTGAATGTTTGGTAGAATTCTCCAGTGAAGCCATCTCAGCTAGGGCTTTTTGCAAGGGGTGGGTAGTTTTTTAAATTACCTTTTCAATCTCTCCTCTTGTTATGGGTCTGTTCAGATTTTTTACCTCAATTTGTGTTACTTTAGGTAGGTAATGTGTTTCTAGAAATTTGTCCATTTCCTCTAGGTTTTCAAATTTCTTGGAGTATAGTTTTTCATAGTACTCTGTCATGATCCTTTTTATTTCAGTTGGGTCTCTTTTAATGTCCCCCATTTCATTTCTTATTTGTGTTATTTTGCATTTTCTCCTGTTTTTCTTTCGTCAGTTTGGCCGATGGTTTGTTCTGTTGATCCTTTCAAAGAACCAACTTTTGGTTTTGTTGATTCTTTGTATTGTTTTTCTATTTTATTTTTTTCTGCTCAGATCTTTATTATTTCCTTTCTTCTGGTGGCTGTGGGCTTCTTTTGCTGTTCTCTATTCGTTTAGGTTTTATAGCTGATGTTTTGATTTTGTTCCTTCTTTTTTTGATGTGTGCATCTATTGCTATAAATTGACCTCTAAGCACTGCCATTGCTGTGTCCCAAAGGTTTTGATATAGTGTTTTCATTCTTGTTTGATTCTAGGAATTTTTTGATTCCATCTTTGATTTCTTCTATTACCTAGTGGTTTTTAAGCAGGGTGTTATTCATTTTCGATGTATTTGTTTTCCCTTTGCTATTCCTGTTATTTCTAGTTTCATGGTATTGTGATCTGAGAAGATGCTTTGTATTATCACAGCGTTTTTGATTTTGTTGAGGGTTGCTTTGGGGCCTAAGATGTGGGCTATTCTGGAGAACATTCCATGTGCATTGGAAAAGAATGTGTACTTGGCTGCTGTTGGGTGGAGTGTTCTATGTCTATGAGATCAAGTTGGTTGACTGTGGCCTTTAGATCTTCTGTATCTTTATTGTGTTTCTTTCTAGATGTTCTGTCCTTTACCGAGAGTGGTGTGTTGAAGTCTCCTACTATTATTATGGAACTGTTAATTTCTCTTTTCAGTGCTGTTAGAGTTTGTTATTTGGAGCACTGTCATTGTGTGTATAGATATTTATTATGGTTATGTCTTCATGGTTATGTCTTCATGGTAGATTGTCCCTTTAATCATTACATAATGCGCTTCCTTTTGCCTTAAAGTCTGTTTTGAGATTGGTATTGGCACTCCTGCTCGTTTTTGGTTGCTGTTTGCTTGATATATTTTTTCCATGCTTTGGTTTTTGATTTATTCATGTCTTTAAGGTGTGTCTCTTGTAGACAGCATATTGATGGGTCTACAAGACCCATCATGGGTCCTGTGTTTTTTTTTTTTTTTTTTTAATCCATTCTGTAACTCTGTTTATGAGTGAGTTTAAGCCAATTATTAAAAATCAGTGTGATTATTAATAGGTGTGAGTTTATTGCTGCACTCTGACATATTTTAAAGACCCTCTTTCTTTTGTTGTTTTTCTACAGATTCATAGTATCTTTAGTACCTTTGATAAGCTCTTCGGTAGGATGTGATTTTAGAAGTTGAAAAACATATTTAAAAAGCATATAGCAAGAAAAAATGTGATATATTATTGTTTTGCTTCTGAATTTTTCCTACAGAATTTTCTGCTATTATGATAGCCAGCTCATATTAACAGAGATATTTAAGCAATTGAAAAAATTATGTATACTTACATATTTTAATTGTTATATACGTCATGTCCTCCATCCACCCCGACCCCACATGGCCCCCTTCTGTCTCCCTCGCATTGTCCCACGGTTGCCTCGTGCTGTCTGTGGCTGGACTAAGACATTGCGGACGAATGGGAGAAGGCATCCCACAGCCGGTTGGCCACCATCCCTCACGTGGCTTAGTCACTGCTGGTGCCTCGGGTATATTGTTCAGGATGGCCCATGGAGGGCACCCAAGGCCTAGCCGCGGTCCTGTGTGGGGCCCAGACCATCGGTTCTGCGTGGGGCCCAGACTATCGGAGGTGCTGCCTGAGAATTTTTTCAAAGTTGTCATAAATGCAAAATGTCAGTTAATGAGATAACTGATAATTGAGGATTAGATGTATTATCAATTATGTCCTAAGAAAAAAATGGATTAAAACCAATTTTCATGATGGTCTTCGTTTAAAAATCAAAGGAGAAGCTAATGGAAGGCTCTACCAAAATTGGCATTTGATCATAAGATTCAGCTATTTAGAAGAAAAATATTGTTATAAAGTTTTTTTTATTTGTTAATCTAAATAAATGTTTTTCCTTCAATAGTATAATTCATCCAGCCTTCCAGCTCTGTTATTAAAAGCAAGAGGTCTTTTGGGAGTTGAAAATCATCTGCAAAATATCAACCATCAATTAGAGAAGCTCCTTGGCCAGGAATGAGAAGACCAGTCTACTAAAATGTACTTGTATAAACATTAGTCACATGCTGCTGTCACCTTCTGAAACTGTATTTATAAATAAAAATTCTTTTTTAAAAAATTAAAAGGAGATGTATATTTTTATTTTAATTTTCTACACAGGAGATTGGGAAAAAATGTAGTTTATTAATGTTGAGTTGAACATTTATTTTCAGATACATGAAAATAAACTTGTCTAACTGTTCAGGCTGGAAGTATGGCCTAGTCACCAGAATATATTATTCTGTCATCAAATCAAATGACTATGACAATGTTAAATGGCATCAGTTTGATTAAATAATAGTTTTAAAGGGACCATAATCATTTTTCTAGTTTTCCTGAGTAATAAGATACAAAATGTTCATACCTTACCCTAATCAGCTCCAGACATGAGTTTTAAGCTATAAATGAACTTGCAAAATCAAATAGATGTGAACATAGACTAATTTTGGTTAATCAATAAAGAGATTTCTACTAAATTTAAGTACACCAAAGCTGATTTTTAATAAAATGGGTTTACTTAAGTAAAAAACAATAGTCAAAAAGCAAAATGATAAAACTTAGTTGATATAAATAGCTTTAAGTTAAAATAATATGTTTATGTTATCAAATCTAATATTTAATCTTCAGGCAAATTAAAGCCTGGTTATAAACATAAGTCTCCATAGTTAATTAGCTACTCTTGTAATATTTCCAAAATTAATTCATCAGGAATTTCATCCACTTATACTACTGTAACTGAGAAGACTATTCTCTGCAGCTTCAGCCAACTCAGCATCTTCAATAGCTTCTAAAAAATAAGCATCATCAGTGCCATTATCCCAGTCATCATTGGAAGGTACTCCTTTTGACAACTTAATAGATGATGGTTTATGAGGATTCTTGGTTTCATTGTTCTTTGTTTCAACTGTTTCATCTTCTCTTGTAAATTCCTCTTCCTTTGTTTCCATAGGGGAGAGTAAGGGCATAAGAAAAAAGTTATTCAGGCAGAATGTATGATGATTTCACCATATACTCAATCTATGTTGAATTAAGATAATAAGTAATAAGGCTAGTTCTTCAACAGATATTAAAATAAATATGCTGGATGAATATTGTCTCTAATATAGTGACCATGAGAATGAGTTTAACACTAATCTAAATGTTGCTGACACTGCAGCTCAGACACTTTTGAAACTCCTAATTTGGAACTGCCTGCAGTTCCTGTGGCACATTCTTTTCAGTATCCTTGGATGGGGCTAGAGCAAGGGTAGATTGATTGATTGATTGTTTTTTTTTTTATTATTTGTTTTTTAAGTGGGTAGTCTAGCTGAAGACAAATTGGAAAACATTCATGAAGACTTATTTCCCTAATTTATACGGTACTTTAAAAATTAATAAGAACATTGAAAAAATTGCTCTAAAGAACAGTTTGGGAACACGTGTCAAAATACGACTCTGGACTATAGATTAATCAGTTGCCATCTAGTGGATTCCAACTCATGGTGACCCTATGCATGTCAGAGTAGAACTGTGCTCCATAGAGTTTTCAATGGCTGATTTTTCAGAAGTAGATTCCCAGGCCTTTCTTCCATAGTGCCTGTGTGGACTCGAACTTCCAACCTTTCGGTTAGCAGCTGAGCATGTTAAACATTTGCACCACCTAGGGCTCTGGATTATATATTAGGTAATAGTAATATATCAATGTTAAATTTCCTGAATTTAATAATACTACCAGTTATATAAGAATGTCCTTATTCTTCAACTACATGCTTAAATATTAAGCGATGAAAGGTTTTCATGCCTGCAACTTACTCTCAAATGATTCATCAAAAATAATAATGTGTATGTATACAGTTGAGAGGAAAAAAATGTGGCCAAATGTTAACCATTAGCAAATCTAGATAAACGGTATACAAGAGGAGTTCCTTGTTCTCTTGCAGTGTTTCTGTAGGTCTGAATTTTTTTTTAATTCAAAATTTGAGTAACATAATTTAAAAGGTTTAAAAAATCAGTTAAGAAAGATAATGCAGTAGAAGAACCAGCAAATAACACTACTTGGTAATTTACTTCAAAATAATAAAATAGATGAAGCAGAAATGACAAAATGTTAACTGCTAAAACTAGGTGATGGGTACTGGGTATTCATTATACTGTTCTATCTTTTTAGATGTTTGAAATTTTACATAAAATGAAAACAAATACGTATGTCCAAGTATTGGTAATAATGCACACCAAAAATACTTTCAACTTGATAATTTTGAAGTATTCAGAGATAAGCAGAAAATATAAAATTTCACAAGTTGACTGAAATCATACTCATCAAAATAACACTCCAAAGAACAAGGATGACATACTCCTCCTAGTAGAGTAAAAGTTTATTTAAAAAAGATTTTTCTTCAGTTTGTTCTTGGTTGGTTGTTTCCAAATGCTTTTTTACCTAGCAGTTAACCAGAGAATCTGGCTTAGTGGCTATGTTATAGCCAGCTCCCACATACCAAGAATGAAATTTTCACCATTTCAAGCTTGGGTATTTGTCTTGGTTATCTAGTGCTGCTATAACAGAAATACCACTAGCGGATGACTTTAACAAACAGAAATTTATTCTCACAATCTGGGAGGCTAAAAGCCCAAATGCAGGGTGCCAGCTCCAGGGGAAGGCTTTTTCTCTCTGTTAGCTCTGGGGGAAAGTCTTTGTCATCAATCTTCCCTGGTCTAGGAGCTTTTCAGTGCAGGGACCCGGGGTCAAAAGGATGCACTCTACTCCTGGCACTACTTTCTTGGTATGAGGTCCCCCTGGAAAGCCTGAAGGGGACATGATGGCATTGGGCACGAGGCAGTGTCCACCCTGGTATGCAGAATGACACCTGCCTGTAAACTGGAGAAGGGTTTCTAAGCCAACTGGCTATGCAGGGACTCTGGACCCTGGCTTGGAATACAAGAAGGGGCTCACGGCTCATCCTTGCTCACACAGGTGGAGCAGCAGAGGGCAGGGCTTCGCCTGGCAGAACCTGCTCCCTTTGAAAGGCCAGAGAAGCAGATAGTTCTGACTGTGGTTAGCTGGAGACCCGAGTCCTATGTGGGTCATGTAGGAAGCTGAAGAGCCACTTGAAAGAGATCATATGCATGGATTATACCAACACAGGCTCTGCAATTTCAAAGCTACTTCATTCTCCACCTGCATGTGGCTAATAGCCTGATTACAGCCACACCAATAACCTTCAAACACTCTCAGGAGCAGCCTTGGTTCTGAAAGGTGCCACCTCTCTTCCTGGCAGGTGGGCCTCCCTTCCTCCTTGTCCTATTTCATGCTTCTCTGGGGCTACAATTACAACAGCTGTGTATTCCTCCCAGGGCCCGAGTTACTTGGAGGAGAGGCAGATGGCTGTGGGCTAATTCCTGAAGTGCACTTCTGGGGACCATTAGCCCTGGCTCCCGGGCTGACATCCCAAACAGGGTTATAGGTCAGAGCAGGAGCAATGCACCATGAATATGGATGCCAACAACTGAGGCTGGCTGGCTTTGGTCCTGCAGGGCAAAGCCGTCCTCCAGGGTGGAGATGACATTTTTGCCGAGATGCAGGGTCAGGGGGAAGGGTTGTCCCCTGAGTCACAAGACAGGATGTTTTAAGATTTAGGACACTGGCCTCTTGGAGAAAGGAGTCACTATCAGGAGATGCAGCATAGAGAGGGAACTGGTGTCTGCTGTATTGTTCTTTCTGCTCAATTCTTGCTTCTTGCCCCGACAGCATCCAGTTAGAGGCTTAGTGGTCAGGGTGCTGCTGGAGGATTCAGACACTTTAGATGGATGAACATCAAGGTGTCTTCCAACTCTAAGGGGCCAAATCTAGTATCCTGGAAGGAGCCCTGGTGGTGCAATGGTTAAGTGCTTGGCTGATAACCGAAAGGTCAGAGGTTTGAACCCAGTAGCCACTCCAACGGAATACATAAGCGTTTGTTCAGGAGACTTTTTATTAATCAGATTGAATAGGTACCAAACTTAGACCGTTGTCTAGGATGTAAACTCACTTGTTCAGCTTGTAGCAGGTAATTTTTAGTCTAAACATAACACTAAAGGAAAAGGCTGACAGAAGTGACCAAAAAAAAAAGAAATAACCCTAAAATTAAATCAGGCTAGAAAACATAAAGCATCAAAGAGTACTGAGAAAAAGTTCTTACAAAATATTCACAGGACCTCAGAAAAATGGACAGAGGACAGGTACAGGCAATTCATAATAAAAATAAAAATAGTAAATCTAAAAAAAGTTCAAATTCATTAATAAACACAAATTTAAACAACTGAAGTACCACTTTTTGCCTGTCAGGTAAAGATTAAAAGGTAATAAAAGCAATGCTGGCAGAAGCATGGGGTAATTAATAGGTACTCTTACAAACTACTTGTGGATGTTTAGTTTCCTATAATCTTTGTATTTTTATATAATTTTATTGGAGTGATTTGGTAATATGTACTACTGAAAAATTCGTGATATATCAAATAGCAGAAATAGCCTACAAACCATGTGTACTATGATTTTTAAAAAAATATGAGCATACATAGATATAAATTTTGGAAGGATATATGACAAAACATTTACATCAGTTATAAGTGAGGATGATTTTTTCCCTTTTTAATGTATTTTATAATTTTTTTGACACTAATTTTTATTTGCGTATATAAAAGTTGGTTTGCTAATTTGGAAGCAGCCCTGGTCCTGGTAGTGCAGTGGTTAACTGCTGGGCAGCTAAACGAAAGGTCGACAGTTCAAATCCACCAGCCGCTCCACAGGTGAAAGACGGGGCAGTCAGCTTCTGTAAGATTACAACCTTGGAAACCATATGGGCAGTTCTACCCTGTCCTACAGGGTGGCTAAAAATTGGAACTGACTTGACAGCAATGGGTTTTTGGTTGGCAATTTGGTAATACACATGAACATTAAAAATGCACATACCCTTTGACACAATTGTACTTCTAGAAATTCATCCTATAGATAGAAATGTTCAAAGGAACACATACAAAGTTGTGTAGTTTTGGCATACTTTGTAAAGGAAAATATGAGAAACTTCTTAAATGTCTGAGATTGGACAAATTGCTATCTATACAAAGAGGTTCAAGCTGGATTCAGAAGAGGATATGGAACAATGGATATCATTACTGATGTCAGATGGATCTTGGCTGAAAGCAGAGAATACCAGAAAGATGTTTACCTGTGTTTATTGACTATGCAAAGGATTTGACTGTGTGGATCATGACAAATTAGGGCTAACATTGCAAAGAATGGAAATTCCAGAACACTTCATTGTGTTCATGAGGACACAGACCTCATACATAGACCAAGAGACAGCTGTCCGAATACAACAAAGGGATACTGTGTGGTTTTAAGTCAGGAAAGGTGTGGGTGAGGGTTGTATCCTTTCACCATACTTATTCAATCTGTATGCTGAGCAAATACTCCAAGAAGCTGGACTATATGAAGAAGAACGGGGCATCAGAATTGGAGGAAGACTCATTAACAACCTGCATTATGCAGATGACACAACCTTCTTGCTGCAAGTGAAGAGGACTTGAAGCACTTACTGATGAAGATCAAAGACCACAGCCTTCAGTATGGATTACACCTTAACATAAAACAAAAATCCTCACAACGGGACCAACAAGCTACATCGTGATAAACGGAGAAAATACTGAAGTTGTCAAGGATTTCATTTTACTTGGATCTACGAGGGAGCAGTGGTCAGGAAATCAAATAATGTATTTATTGCATTGGGCAAATCTGCAGAAGACCTCTTTAAAGTGTTAAAAAGCAAACATGTCACTTTAAGGACTAAAGTGCACCTGACCCAAGCCATGGTGTTTTCAATCGCCTCATATGCATGTGAAAGCTAGACAATGAATAAGGAAGACTTAAGAAGAACTGATGCCTCTGAATTAAGGTGCTGGAGAAGAATACAGAGTATACCGTGGACTGCTAGAAGAACAAACAAATCTGTGTTGGAAGAAGTATAGCCAGAATGCTCCTTAGAAGCAAGGATGGTGAGACTTCATCTCACATACTTTGGACATGATATCAGGAGGGACCAGTCCCTGGAGAACGACATCAAGCTTGGTAAAGCAGAGAGTCAGCGAAGACGAGTCATCGCGTATCAACGAGATGGATCGACATAGTGGCTGCAACAATGGTCTCAAGCACAGCAATAATTGTGAGGATGGCACAGAACTGGGCAGTGTTTTGTTCTGTTGTACACAGGGTTGCTATGAGTAGTAACTGACTAGAAGGCACCTAACAACAACATACAAGGTGACTACACAAGAGTTACAAAGGATGAGGTGCATATTCTCAAGTATGTGCTGAAGTGGGACAATAGTTACATTATATTTCTAAGTGAAAACAAGGCACCAAACATTGTATTTAAAAGCTATCTGGATACATTTGGACAGTCTGTTGATAGCTCATTTATATTGTTGTACCAAGAACTAAAAACTGCACTTACATCTTTGAAAAGCCTCAGAAGACATACTTCAGGAGGTAACGGGAAACCTGAGTCAGAAAGATAGTAAAACTACTTTAGATAGATATCTAATTTTTACTTTGTGGTAAACACTGTAAAAACTAATAACTCACAGTCAGATTTGAAGTTTTCTGCTTTACACACAGGGTCATGGCATTTTTGATACCAAACGTCATTTTTCAGATCAACCAGGATCCTTTACATTAAAAAAAAAAAAAAAAAAGTATTAATACCCAGACTGGATAAAAAACAAAATTCAGCTATATGCTGTTGACAAAAGATATGCCAAAAACTTAAAACTAGAGAATAGTTAAAAGGATAGAAATAGATATACACCAAGCCAAAAAAGAAAAAAGCTGTGGTAACCAAGATATCACACAAATTTGACTTTAGGGCAAAAAAGCACATATTGATAAAGTTCCCCCAAGAATATATAAAAATTATCAATCTATATCCACCAAATAATATAGCTTCAAAATATTTAACAGCAAAAATGGACATGACTACAAGTATAAACAAATCTACTGTAAGTCAAGATTTTCAACTTATTCTCTCAGTAATTGATAGATCAAATATCTATACACACACACAAATAAAATCAATAAGGACACAGGAAATTTGAATAACACAATTTAAAAAAATTAACAAGTTTGATCTAATAGGTTGTTTCCAATAATTAGAAACAGCTCTTCACAGTCACACACAAAACAATTGTAAAAATTGACTCCATGCTAGAATCTCGTAAATTTAAAAGGGTCAGTTCACTCACACAGAGTACATTCTCTGCCACAAAGAAGATTATTTAGAAATAAATAACAAAAAGCTAACAGAAATCCAGGATTTGGAAATTCAAAATAAATTTCTAAATAACCAATGTCTCAAGGGAAAAATTATACAGGAAATTAGAAAATGTTTAGGAATGAAAGGAAATGAAAATGCAAAATGCAACTAAAAAGTGATCTTTATAGGGAAATTTATAGTCCTCAAAGCTTATATTACAAAAGGACAGCTAAAGATAAATGAGTTAACTAATCTAAATGGAAAATGAACAATAAAATACTACTAAAGAGCAAAAAATTACACAGAATCAATAAAGCCAGAACTTGAAGACTAATAAAATTCTTGCAAGATTAATTTTAAAAAATTCGCAAATGTTATTAGAAGTTAAATGCCAGTGTAACCACAAATGCAGCATATTCTAAAAACATAAGAATATTATGAACAACTTTTGCCAGTAACTTTGAAAACTTTGATAAAATAGACAAATTACTAGGGGGAAAAGAAAAAAACAAACTATAAGCAGACTTAAAAAGAGAAAACCGAAACAACCCTATGCTGTTGTTGTTAGCTGCCATCAAGTTGATTCCGACTCACAGTGACCCCAGGTGTGACAGAGTAGAACTGCCTCACAGGGCTTTCCTGGCTGTAATCTCTATGGGAGCAGATTGCTGGGTCTTTCTCCTGTGGAGCTGCTGGATGGGTTCGAACTGCCAGCCTTTTGGTTAGCAGCCAAGCGCTTTACTGTTTGTGCCACCAGGGGTCCTTAAACAATCCTATCGCCAATAAAAATGAAAACTTTTGCTTAAGTAATTTAGAATCTTCCCACATTTCACAGAAAAGTAAACATAAAATGGCCAATTCTGCATGGTGGTAGGGGATGGAAGGGGACATGTAACCACTGCCCAGGGAAGAAAAAGGCAGGTGGATCTGGTCTAACTCCTCATACACATTCCAATAACAGACTTCTTAGTAAACAGACTAATGCCGCAGTTCCCAGACTGCATACCAGGTGCCTGAGGCACTGAAGGATACTTAAAACTTTCAAGGGACACTCAGTGATGCTTGACATCTGTCAGGCACCTCACAAACTACTTGTTAGAGGCAAGTCACAGCCTCAACATCACATCACACTTCATTTCTTTCAGTGGCATATCTCTGCAGAGCTGTTCATTTTGGTGTGACTGTGATTAAAAAGTAACACATGTCTAATCAATACAGAATAAGAAATGAGGAACAGTGTCCAATCTGATTCCAATGTTTAAGAGGTTATGTGATCCCCAAAAGGCACACAGCCCAGTAGTAATTGTATTTAAGAATGAAATAAATATATTATTTTTCTTAAAATGTGTATGTATTAGTTTTTTAAATAGCAATAAATTGTTAGGACATAAATACTTAAGTTGTTTGGAACTAATTAATAAAGAGAACCACTAGGTATTTCTTTTGGCTTAGGAGCAACTTGGAAAAATTCATAAGATACTAAGGGCACCGTGAACCAAGAAAGTTTGGGAACCTCTGGACTAGTGGTATTTGATAGGATGAGAGTCTTTATTCATGGAATGCTCCTTCCCAGGATGTCTCTGATTTGGGGATTGCATATAGTAAGCAAACCTAGAATCTATAAATTTATGGCACATGGCTCCCTGGAAAATATCACACACACAAAATATCACACACACTATGTAACCATGTTGTTGTTAGCTGCCGTCAAGTCGATTCTAACTCATAGCAACCCTATGTACAACAAAATGAAACACTGCCTGGTCCTGTGCCACCCTCACAATCGTTGCTGTTTGAGCCCATTGTTGCAGCCACCATGTCAATCCATCTTACTGAGGGTCTTCCTCTTTTTCACTGACTCTCTACTTTACCAAGCATGATGTCCTTCTCCAGGGACTGATCCCTCCTGATAACACGTCGAAGGAGCAATCTGGCTGTACTTCTTCCAAGCCAGACTTGTTCATTCTTCAGGCAATCCATGGTATATTCAATATTCTTCCCCAACACATAATTCAAAGGCATCAATTCTTTTTCAGTCTTCCTTATTCCTTATTTAACTACATGATTATAAAATGTTTCATAACATAAATGCTCCCTGCTACATTAGATGACCACACACTTCTGAGAGAGCATCCAGGGCAGGAAGGACAGTCCTGGGGAGCCGTGCTAAATGTCCTAATCCTCACTCCACTTCACCTATGCCTTTTGAGTCCTTGTATGCTTAACATTATTAGTAAAGCTTGATATTGTGTAAGATCTCTGACTCATATGAGTATGATTCTACAATCCAATCCTCAACTTCATTAGTAATCAGGGAAATTCAAAAAAAACCACAGACATATTTTACACTCACTAGATTATTAGCAAAAATAATAATAAATAAAACCTAACAATAATGAAGTGTTGGTGAGAATATGGTAACACTAGAAAAATTTCAAAACATTGCTGGTGAGAATATAAATTAGTACAACCATTATGCAAGACTACTATTTAGTAAAATATGCACATATTCTGTGACACAGCAATTCCACTTGTAGATATACATTTGAGAAACTCTTGAACATGTGCACTAGGTGATATGTACAAGGATGTTTATAGCTTCATTGTTCACAGCAGCAACCCAAATGTCCACTGTAGGACAATGGGTAAACTCTGATATATTCATTTATATAATGGCAGACTATACAATAATGAAAGAATGAACAATAGCTACACGAATGACCCTCACAAATACAATGCTGACCAAAAGCAAGTCAAAGGATGCAATTTATATAAAATTAAAAAACAAGTAAAATGAAACAATATAGTATTTAGGAATACAAACATATGTGGAAAAACCATAAAAAAAAGCAAGTGAAAGACTGACACAAAATTTAGGATAATGACTATTATCTCTGAAAGGTAGAGAAGGGGAAGAAAGTGGGGCTGGGCCCACAGGTGCTTCTAAGGTTTGGTAAAGTTCTGTTTCTTCAGGTGGGTGGCAGATATGACAGGTGTTCATTTTATTGTTAGTCTTTAAAATGTACATATACATTATTAAAAAACCACCAGTTGCCATCAAGTCAACTCTGACTCATGGCAAGCCCACGTGTCAGAACAGAACTGTGCTCCATAGGGTTTTCAATAGCTGATTTTTTGGAAGTAGATCACCAGGCCTTTCTTTTGAGGTGCCATGGGTAGACCAGAACCTCCAACCTTTTGGTTAGCATCTGAGTGTGATAACTGATGGCATTACCCAGGAATTCACTTATATGTATATTTCAAAGTTAAGAAAAGAATAGATTATGAATACAACTTTGAATAGATTATAAATACAACTTTGAACAGATTATTAATACAACAAAGTCAATAAATACAACTTTGTAATTCTTCAAAATATATGTGTATATATAGCAACCTTAAGAATCTCAAAAGGGTATAAGATGATCATGGTATGATACTGATTTTTTTGTAAATTTATATGCATAGAAGAAAAGACTACTAAAATTAAATATGTACTAGAAAGACATACACCAAAATGATAACCATAGTTTTGGCTGACTTGTGGGATCACAGATGATCTTTTCCTTTGTGTTTTTCTATGTTATATGTTTGTGTACTGAGTGTATAGTTTCTGAAGTTTTTTAAACCGCATTAATCTAAGTATACCAAGTATAGCATTGAAACATGCTGCTCAACATATCTTCCAGCTTTCCAGCAAAAGTTTCATGATCATTTTCTCATGTTTGGCATATGTGCTGTATATGCCTCATTATACAGAAGTCTCAACTTGGGCATTAAATATTCAAAAAAAAAAAAAAAGAAAAATTTCTCATATCATCAATTACCAGTGGGTTTTTATTTTACCCCTATTCTAACCATATCCTTATGTTACTAAAAATTCCATTCCTAGTTTTACTTCTCCTTTACTTCCTCTCCTTTTGCCAGGGGCATTCTGAAGGAAATACAGGGATACAGGCCCTGGGCATACACAGCAAACATTCGATAAATATTGGTTCCCTTCAATACCCAGGCATTGTTTTGAACAAGTGAACATTACCTTAACCTCTAACTCTTTTTTTCTTTTTTTAGAGGAGGATGGAAAATATTTATTTTGTTCCTCTTGGGTTACTTTTCCATCTGAGTGAACAGTCCTACCTATGAGGTTGTATGTAGTACATATGAACATAAGAAAATGAAAATCCTCACAACTGGACCAATAAACAACATCATAATTGGAGAAGAAGTTGTCAAGGATTTCATGCTTCTTGGATCAACAATCAACACCCATGGAAGGAGCAGTCAAGAAATCAAATAATGTACTGCATTGGGCAAACCTGCAGCAAAAGACCTCTTAGAAGTGTTAAAAAGCAAAGATGTCCTTTTGCTAACAAAGTTGCGCCTGACACAAGCCATGGTATTTTCAATCCCCTCATATGAATGTGAAAGCTGGACAATAAAAAAGGAAGACTGAATAAGAATTGATGTGTTCGAATTATGTTGTTGGCAAAGAATATTGAATATACCATGGACTGCCAGAAGAATAAACAAATCTGTCTTGCAGGAAGTACAGTCAGAGGTGAGGATGGTGGTATTACTTTGGACATGTCATCAGGAGGAGGACATCATGCTTGGTAAAGTAGAGGGTCAGCGAAAAACAGGAAGACCCTCAACAAGATGGACTGGCACAGTGGCTACGATGATGTACTCAAACACAGCAATGACTGTGAGGATGATGCAGGACCAGGCAACTTCTTATTCTGTTACACATAAGGTTGCTATGAATTGGAGCCAACTCCATGGCACCTAACAACAGCAGCATAAGGCCGTGTAAGTTCTTTTCCATTTTAACCTCCAACTCTTAATATTAACTGGCCAGAGTTTTCTTCTTGCCCCAAACTCCCTTATTTATATTTTAGGCTTCATAAGGAGTCAAGGGCCAATAGCAACACAGCAGATAATATCACACCATCATAATTGTTTATTCTCCTGTCTACCACCTCTTGTGCCTTTCTAGCCCTAGTCAATTCCACCTTGGTCTTCTCAAGAGTATACTATCTAAGAGATTATTTTACCAAATAAAATATAAATAAAGCTGATACATGCAAGGGCAATATAATAATTAAGATATTCAAGTTAAATATTATCAAATACCAACCAAATACAACAAATATAAATTGAATTATAAATTGAATTTATTAAACAACTAAATGTATTACAAAATTATTTTCACATTCCCAACTATTAAGAAACTGTAAACATTTAAAATGTAGTACTGGTTAAATACCTAGAAATAATTATTCAATAATATCACTTACATGATATTATTACTCTTGTGAGCTCTTCCAATGTTTTCGCACCAGCGATATCTACAAATGTCATAAACCAATAATTCTTCGGGAAAAAAGTAGTTCCAACGCCGAATTCCTAAAATGCAAACAATGTTTCCAAACGTACTAATACCCTATCATATAGTAATTAATAAAGAGTAAGATTATCCTTACCTCCTTTAATGCCATTTTTATTCACCAAAGAAAGAACAAAACGATCAATTTCAGGGTAGGGTGAACACTGAAAACCTTCAATTGTTTCTACTGCAACAGAGAGAAGAAATGTTTATAAATTATAAGAGTTAAAGCTGAGGCGTTAGGAAGTGAGGCCAAAATGGAGGAGTAGTCAGATGCTTCCGGTGGACCCTCTTACAACAAAGACCCGAAAAAACAAGTGAATTGATTATATATGGCAATCTGGGAGCCCTGAACACCAAAGGCAGAGTTGAGGAACCGGACTGAGTGGAAGGAGCAGGGAGATATGGTTTGGAAGCAGCTAGGAGTTGCCAGACCTGACCCGGCGAGAGCCTAAGCCCTTCAGGCCTGACCAGCTCCAGGGTGAGCAGTGAGGCAGGCAAGCGGCAGCACTTGGGAGGCACATTTTCCACACCGGGAGAGACCCAGTGCCAGAGAGTCTACACAGCCACCCAGAACCAGTGAGAAGCAGCCCTCATCGGCAAAACATAAGTACTTGCATATAGCTTACCGAGCGAATCAAAAACACCCGCCTTAGGGAAAACCTCTCTCCCATTTACCTCCCCACTCCCTGCTCTGCACTGGGTCCTGGACGGGCTTCAGAAATTGTCGAGTCCCCTGGGCCACAAGTAGGATCTGTCACATGCCCAGAGCCATTCTCCCTGCCTTGGAGAGTGAACAAATTAACAAACGGGAAAAAATAAACTGCCGGCTCCCATAAGCCAGGAACCCAGGGTAGGCACAGCTCCTTTGCCTAGACACAGGCATAAGGGATTCACAGACACTGAGTGCCTTTCTCCCTGTATAGACTTGTGTGGGCCCTTCTCAACAGAGTAGGCCCTTATTAGCGCCGTACAACAGGGTATATACCGGAAGTCTAACTTCAACTGTTTCAGCTGTGAAGAGGCAGGTTCTTGACATCTGACACTACTCTGACCATTAAGCAGGGTCTTCACCTACCCACATCAGGGGCCTGAGGACTGGTGGCTCCACCCCACGCCACCTAGCCACCTGCGATAGGGGCCCATGAATAAGAGGTGCCCCCTAGTCCTTACAGCCAACAGTATTAGGTGCTCACAGTCTGGCTGCAAAACCCACCCACCTACGCACTCTAGGGAACAGGGACACGCCTTCCTCCTGGACACTTGGGAGCAGCCGTCAGCCCCCTGTCTTGCTCAGAGTGTGTCCCCCTGCTGCAGCCAGATGCCTGTGCCTATACCAATCACCCATGCCTATCTAGGACTGTAAGTGAGAGCCTACACCACATACTTTGTGGCTGTCTAGCTGGGCACCTGAGCTGAATCCATATAGAAGGAGTGGGCAGACTCCTGAGCTCACATACCTAGCAACAGATCTAACCACCTGGTAACAGGACATTATAGCTTCAAAGGTGCCAATAATCAAACTAGCTCATACGAGCAGCCTCTTTGGGCATATCAAAACATAACAAGAAGATAGGACATGGTAAGGAAACATAAATAAATATAATAACTTACTGATGGCTCGGAAACAACAGTCAATATCAAATCACATAAAAAGGCAATTCATGATGGCTTCAGCAAGCTCCCAAAATAAAGAATCTAGAAATTTTCCAGAGGAGGATAATTTCTTAGAATTACCGGAGGCAGAATACAAAAGATTAGTATACAGAACGCTTCAAGAAATTAGGAAGGAAATTAAGCAAAACACAGCAAATCCGTTAAAGGAAATTAAGAAGATCAGGAAAGAGCAAAATGACAAATTTAACAGACTGCAAGAATCCATAGACAGAAATCAGAAATCCAGAAGATTAACAATAAAATTTCAGAATTAGACAACTCAATAGAAAGTCATAGGAGCAGAATTGATGCAGTAGAAGTCGGAATTAGTGAGACTGAAGATAAAGCACTTGACACCAACTTATTTGATGAAAAATCAAATAAAAGGAATTAAAAAAATGAAGAAACCGTAAGAATTATGTGGGACTCTATCAAGAGGAATAACCTACGAGTGACTGGAATACCAGAACAGGGGATAACAGAAAATACAGAGAGAACTGTTGAAGATTTCTTGGCAGAAAACTTCCCTGAGGAGGGGACAGGAAAGCTGGTGATAGGGAACCCAAGGTTAAGAAGGGACAGTGTTGACATGTCGTGTGGTTGCTAACCATTGTCATAGGGCAATATGTGTACTAACTGTTTAATCAGAAACTATTTGTTCTGCAAACCTTCACCTAAAGTACCAAAAAAAAAAAAGAATTATCTATGTGAGATCAAATTGACAACAGCAAATCAATAGGTTTGATGGGAAGCCTAGGGGGCAGTGAGTTGAAGATAATGGTGATGGAATAACTTGGAAAAGGATAGTAAGAATAGCAGCACAACTGGAAGAATGTAATCGATGTCAATGAATTGTACATGTAGAAACTTTTGAAATGGTGTAACTTTGGCTATGTATATTTTCACCAAAAAAAACGGTCCTCCAAGATCGAGAAGGTAAGAGTGTTGACATGTCGTGGGGTTGTTAACCAATGTCATAAAACAATATGTGTTGTTGAAGTAGAAACTATTTGTTCTGTAAACTTTCATCTAAAGAACAATTAAAAAGAAATTAAAAGAAAATTTCACTGATACAGTGAAAGATGACAAGATATCTATCCAAGATGCTCATTGAACCCCACATAAGGTAGATCCCAAAAGAAAGTCACCAAGATATAATCAAGCTTGCCAAAACCAAAGATAAAGAGAGAATTTTAAGAGCAGCTAGGGATAAACGAAAAGTCATCTACAAAGGAGAGTCAATAAGAATAAGCTTGGACTACTCAGCAGAAACCATGCAGGCAAGAAGGCAATGGGATGACATATATAAAGCCTTGAAGGAGAAAAACTGGCAGCCAAGAATTATATATCCAGCCAAACTGTCTCTTAAATATGATGGTGAAATTAGGGCATTTCCAGATAAACAGAAGTTTAGGGAATTTGTAAAAATCAAACCAAAATTACAAGAAATACTGAAGGGAATCCTCCGGTTAGAAAATCAGTAACATCAGATAACAACCCAAGACTAGAACATGGGACAGAGCAAACAGATATTAACTCAGAGAGTGAAGTCACAAAAGTAAATCATAGGTAAAACACTGAAAATAGGGAAACAGATGTCAATACGTAAAAGATGACAACATTAAAACAAAAAGGAGGGACTTAAAAAAAAAATGTAGACATAGATTTTTCACATGGAGAGAAGGCAAGGCAATATAAACAAATAAAAGACTGGTATAAACTTAGAAAACTAGGAGTAAATATTAAGGTAACCACAAAGGAAACTAACAATCCTACAAGTAAAATAAAAAACTAGAAAAACATAAAGACTCAGCAAACACAAAATGAACAACAATGAAAAAGTTGAAAAGAAAATACATAAAGTAAAACGACTCAGCACAGAAAAGTGGAACAAAGAAACTAAGAACACACACAAAAAAGACATCAAAATGACAGCACTAAACTTATACCTATCAATAATTATGCTGAATGTAAAGAGACAGAGAGTAGCAGATTGGATAAAAAAACACGATCCGTCTATATGCTGCCTACAAGAGACACACTTTAGACTTAAAGACACAAACAAATTAAAACTCAAAGGATGGGAAGAAATATATCAAGCAAACAACACTCAAAAAAGAGCAGAAGTAGCAATTTTAATCTCTGATAAAATAGACTTTAAAGTAAAATCCACCACAAAGGACAAGGAAAGACACTATATAATGATTAAACGGTCAAAACACCAGGAGGACATACCTATAATAAATATTTACGCACCCAAGGACAGGACTCCAAAATACATAAAACAAACTCTTAACAAAAGTGAAAAGAGATAGACAGCTCCACAATAGTAGTAGGAGACTTCAACACACCACTTTCAGTGAAGGACGGAACATCCAAAAAGAAGCTCGACAAAGACAAGGAAGAGCTAAATGCTACAATCAACCAACTTGATCTCAAAGACATATATATACCAGACACTCCACCCAACAGCAGCCAAGTATACTTTCTTTTCCAATGCACATGGAACATTCTCCAGAATAGACCACATATCAGGCCACAAAGCAAGCCTTAACAAAATCCAAAGCATCGAAATATTACAAACCATATTTTCTGACCATTAAGCCACAAAAGCAGAAATCAACAACAGAAAAAGCAAGGAAAAAAAATCAAACACATGGAAAATGAACAACACCTTGCTCAAAAACTACTGGGTTATTGAAGAAATTAAGGATGGAATAAAGAAATTCATAGACTCAAACGAGAATGAAAACACATCCTACCAGAACTTTTGGGACACAGCAAAAGCAGTGCTCAGAGGTCAGTTTATAGCAATAAATGCATACATCCAAAGAGAAGGAACGGCCAAAATCAAAACATTAACCTCACAACTGGAACAAGGAGAAAGAGAGCAGCAAAAGAAGCCCTCAGGCACCAGAAGAAATGAAATAACAAGAATTAGAGCAGAATTAAATGAAAGAGAGAATAGAAAAACAACTGAAAGAGTTAACAAGACCAAAAGCTGGTAATTTGAAAAGATCAACAAAACTGATAAACCATTGGCCAAACTGACAAAAGAAAAACAGGAGAGGAAGCAAATAACCTGTGTAAGAAATGAGATGGGTGATATCACAACAGACCCAGCTGAAATTAAAAGAATCATAACAGAATACTATGAAAAGTCGTATGCTAACAAATTTGAAAACCTAAAGGAAATGGACAAATTTCTAGAAACTCACTACCTACCTAAACTAACACAGAGGTAAAACAACTAAATAAATGCATAACAAATGAAAAGATTGAAAAGGTAATTAAAAAACTCCCAACAAAGAACAGCCCTGGCCCGGATGGCTTCAGTGGAGAATTCTACCAAACTTTCAGAGAAGAGTTACCACCACTACTACTAAAGGTATTTCATAGCATAGAAAAGGATGGAATTCTCCCAAACTCATTCAATGAAGCCACCATACCCTGATACAAAAACCAGGTAAAGACACCACAAAAAAAGAAAATTACACACCAATATCCCTCATGAATATTGCTGCAAAAATCCTCAACAAAATTTTAGCCAATAGAATTCAGCAACATATCAAAAAAACAGTTCATCTTGATAATGTGGGATTTATTATACCAGGTAAGCAGGGATGGTTCAACATCAGCAAAACAATCAATGTAATCCATCACATAAAAAAAAAAGACAAGAACTACACGATCTTATCAATCGATGCAGAAAAGGCATTTGACAAAGTCCAACACCCATACATGATAAAAACTCTCAACAAAATAGGAATAGAAGGGAAATTCCTCAATATAATTAAGGGCATTTATACAAAGC